ACACAGTTTGTACTAAGAACGTCAGAGTGATGGGAGCCTTACAGGTATCAACCACTCACACAGATTGTACTAAGAACGTCAGTGTGTGGGTAGCCCTACAGGTATCAACCACTCACACAGATTGTACTAAGAACGTCAGTGTGTGGGGAGCCCTACAGGTATCAACCACTCACTAAGAACGTCAGTGTGTGGGTAGCCCTACAGGTATCAACCACTCACACAGATTGTACTAAGAACGTCAGTGTGTGGGTAGCCCTACAGGTATCAACCACTCACACAGTTTGTACTAAGAACGTCAGTGTGTGGGGAGCCCTACAGGTATCAACCACTCACTAAGAACGTCAGTGTGTGGGTAGCCCTACAGGTATCAACCACTCACACAGATTGTACTAAGAACGTCAGTGTGTGGGTAGCCCTACAGGTATCAACCACTCACTAAGAACTTCAGTGTGGGGAGTCATAAAGGTATCAACCACTCACTAAGAACGTCAGTGTGTGGGGAGCCCTACAGGTATCAACCACTCACTAAGAACGTCAGTGTGTGGGTAGCCCCACAGGTTTCAACGACTCACACAGATTGTACTAAGAACGTCAGTGTGTGGGTAGCCCTACAGTTATCAACCACTCACTAAGAACGTTAGTGTGTGGGGAGCCCTACTGGTATCAATAACTCACTAAGAACGTCAGTGTGTGGGTAGCCCTACAGATATCAGCCACTCACACAGATTGTACTAAGAACCAGTGTCAAGGGAAGGGTCACGTCACAGTGTGGGGAGCCCTACAGGTATCAACCACTCACTAAGAACTTCACTGTGGGGAGTCATAAAGGTATCAACCACTCACTAAGAACGTCAGTGTGTCGGGAGCCCTACAGGTATCAACCACTCACACAGTTTGTACTAAGAACGTCAGTGTGTAGGGAGCCCTACAGGTATCAACCACTCACACAGTTTGTACTAAGAACGTCAGTGTGTGGGGAGCCCTACAGGTAACAACCACTCACACAGTGTGTACTAAGAACGACAGTGTGTGGTGTAGTTTAAACAGTGTCAAGGGAAGGGTGCCCTGCCCTACAGGTATCAACCACCCACACAGTTTGCACTAAGAACGTCAGTGTGTGGGGAGCCCTACAGGTATCAACCACTCACACAGTTTGTACTAAGAACGTCAGTGTGTGGTCTAGTTTACCCAGTGTCAAGGGAAGGGTGCCCTGCCCTACAGGTATCAACCACCCACACAGTTTGCACTAAGAACGTCAGTGTGTGGGGAGCCCTACAGGTATCAACCACTCACACAGTTTGCACTAAGAACGTCAGTGTGTGGGGAGCCCTACAGGTATCAACCACTCACACAGTTTGTACTAAGAACGTCAGTGTGTGGGGAGCCCTACAGGTATCAACCACTCACACAGTTTGCAGTAAGAACGTCAGTGTGTGGGGAGCCCTACAGGTATCAACCACTCACACAGTTTGCACTAAGAACGTCAGTGTGTGGGTAGCCCTACAGGTATCAACCACTCACACAGATTGTACTAAGAACGTCAGTGTGTGGGGAGCCCTACAGGTATCAACCACTCACTAAGAACGTCAGTGTGTGGGTAGCCCTACAGGTATCAACCACTCACACAGATTGTACTAAGAACGTCAGTGTGTGGGTAGCCCTACAGGTATCAACCACTCACACAGTTTGTACTAAGAACGTCAGTGTGTGGGGAGCCCTACAGGTATCAACCACTCACTAAGAACGTCAGTGTGTGGGTAGCCCTACAGGTATCAACCACTCACACAGATTGTACTAAGAACGTCAGTGTGTGGGTAGCCCTACAGGTATCAACCACTCACTAAGAACTTCAGTGTGGGGAGTCATAAAGGTATCAACCACTCACTAAGAACGTCAGTGTGTGGGTAGCCCTACAGGTATCAACCACTCACTAAGAACGTCAGTGTGTGGGGAGCCCTACAGGTATCAACCACTCACTAAGAACGTCAGTGTGTGGGTAGCCCTACAGGTATCAACCACTCACTAAGAACGTCAGTGTGTGGGTAGCCCCACAGGTATCAACCACTCACACAGATTGTACTAAGAACGTCAGTGTGTGGGTAGCCCTACAGTTATCAACCACTCACTAAGAACGTTAGTGTGTGGGGAGCCCTACTGGTATCAATAACTCACTAAGAACGTCAGTGTGTGGGTAGCCCTACAGATATCAGCCACTCACACAGATTGTACTAAGAACCAGTGTCAAGGGAAGGGTCACGTCACAGTGTGGGGAGCCCTACAGGTATCAACCACTCACTAAGAACGTCAGTGTGGGGAGTCATAAAGGTATCAACCACTCACTAAGAACGTCAGTGTGTCGGGAGCCCTACAGGTATCAACCACTCACACAGTTTGTACTAAGAACGTCAGTGTGTGGGGAGCCCTACAGGTATCAACCACTCACACAGTTTGTACTAAGAACGTCAGTGTGTGGGGAGCCCTACAGGTAACAACCACTCACACAGTGTGTACTAAGAACGACAGTGTGTGGTGTAGTTTAAACAGTGTCAAGGGAAGGGTGCCCTGCCCTACAGGTATCAACCACTCACACAGTTTGCACTAAGAACGTCAGTGTGTGGGGAGCCCTACAGGTATCAACCACTCACACAGTTTGCACTAAGAACGTCAGTGTGTGGGGAGCCCTACAGGTATCAACCACTCACACAGTTTGTACTAAGAACGTCAGTGTGTGGTCTAGTTTACCCAGTGTCAAGGGAAGGGTGCCCTGCCCTATAGGTATCAACCACTCACACAGTTTGTACTAAGAACGTCAGTGTGTGGTCTAGTTTACCCAGTGTCAAGGGAAGGGTGCCCTGCCCTACAGGTATCAACCACCCACACAGTTTGCACTAAGAACGTCAGTGTGTGGGGAGCCCTACAGGTATCAACCACTCACACAGTTTGCATTAAGAACGTCAGTGTGTGGGGAGCCCTACAGGTATCAACCACTCACACAGTTTGCACTAAGAACGTCAGTGTGTGGGTAGCCCTACAGGTATCAACCACTCACACAGTTTGCACTAAGAACGTCAGTGTGTGGGTAGCCCTACAGGTATCAACCACTCACACAGATTGTACTAAGAACGTCAGTGTGTGGGTAGCCCTACAGGTATCAACCACTCACACAGTAAGAACGTATCAACCACTCACACAGTTTGTACTAAGAACGTTAGTGTGTGGGGAGCCCTACAGGTATCAACCACTCACACAGATTGTACTAAGAACGTCAGTGTGTGGGGAGCCCTACAGGTATCAACCACTCACTAAGAACGTCAGTGTGTGGGTAGCCCTACAGGTATCAACCACTCACACAGATTGTACTAAGAACGTCAGTGTGTGGGTAGCCCTACAGGTATCAACCACTCACACAGTTTGTACTAAGAACGTCAGTGTGTGGGGAGCCCTACAGGTATCAACCACTCACTAAGAACGTCAGTGTGTGGGTAGCCCTACAGGTATCAACCACTCACACAGATTGTACTAAGAACGTCAGTGTGTGGGTAGCCCTACAGGTATCAACCACTCACACAGTTTGTACTAAGAACGTCAGTGTGTGGGGAGCCCTACAGGTATCAACCACTCACTAAGAACGTCAGTGTGTGGGTAGCCCTACAGGTATCAACCACTCACACAGATTGTACTAAGAACGTCAGTGTGTGGGTAGCCCTACAGGTATCAACCACTCACTAAGAACTTCAGTGTGGGGAGTCATAAAGGTATCAACCACTCACTAAGAACGTCAGTGTGTGGGTAGCCCTACAGGTATCAACCACTCACACAGTTTGCACTAAGAACGTCAGTGTGTGGGGAGCCCTACAGGTATCAACCACTCACACAGTTTGCACTAAGAACGTCAGTGTGTGGGGGGCCCTACAGGTATCAACCACTCACACAGTTTGTACTAAGAACGTCAGTGTGTGGTCTAGTTTACCCAGTGTCAAGGGAAGGGTGCCCTGCCCTACAGGTATCAACCACTCACACAGTGTGTACTAAGAACGACAGTGTGTGGTGTAGTTTACCCAGTGTCAAGGGAAGGGTGCCCTGCCCTACAGGTATCAACCACCCACACTGTTTGCACTAAGAACGTCAGTGTGTGGGGAGCCTTATAGGTATCAACCACCCACACTGTTTGCACTAAGAACGTCAGTGTGTGGGGAGCCCTACAGGTATCAACCACTCACACTGTTTGCACTAAGAACGTCAGTGTGTGGGGAGCCCTACATTTCTCCCACAAGTTGAACAAAGGAAACTGCCTTAGTCATCGGGGCACAGCGAACCCTCGCTTATAGCGCTAGTCGCCAGACGCAACGACATTTGAATGTTAAAATGATGTAATCGAGGTCTTTTACAAGTAGTCTTTGAAATATCGTTTTGTGTTTTTCATCATTTATATTCACATTTCTAGGAATAGTTTACACAACAGTCAATGAATGTATTGCATAAACATTTGACTGAATCATTTGGTGGTTGTTGTTTGCAAAATAAAATAGTAAATAAGTAAGGGCGGCTGTGTTCAAATATTGTCGCAGTGTACATATTTCATCTAGCATGAGGTGAAGGGGAATGTGAAATGCATGGCGTGGGGCAATATATTACTGACTTCGTGGACCTTGAAACTTGTCATGTATAGCGTGCATGCTTCCTTTGCTATGTGCAGAGGCCATATAATCATAATTCTGCTATGTGTTAAACGAGTATGCAGTTGACAAAGCTCTATCGTACCTACGGTATGTGTGCAATACTGGCCTCGTTCGCCAGGCGGGGTGAAAGGTTGCCATTTACATTATCTATGGAGGATAAGCCGACGTCCCAGTTAATGAACATCCCCACCACGCCATGATGGTCTCCAACACCCAGTGATCGGTATGAGCGTCAGCAACCTTTGTCAATCGCATCTCCAAGCTAAGCTAAACCTGGAATAAATTACAAACGACATGCCATGCCATGTTGAGTAAGATTACCTTAAGTGGGAACCCCGCCTCTCCAGGTTGCCGCGCCATGATAGCTGGAGTTATGTCCCTTCGTCAGGTCAACGCGATCCCAGTTGTGTGAGGTGCCAGAGGAGTTTTTGTAATTGTATCAAACTTCAGTGGGTCAACTTGCCAACAAGGAAATATCGACTCAGGCCAGGCGAGACACGTGACAGCTGTGTTCACTGTGTAATGCTGAACAACAAATCAACCTGTTATCTGCTAATTCTGTGAACAACGCAACTCATTTTATATAGAAACACTTTGTGCGTGTGTTTTGCACATATGCATACATGCGCACGCACGCACACACACACACACACACACGCACACACGCACACACACACACACACACACACACGCACCGCACACACACACACACACACACACACACACACACACACACACACACACACACACGCACACACACGGTGTCCATATTTAACTTGTTAGACTTTGGGGATAACATGAGGTATTGATTCTCTGATCTCAGAGATCTAGATGGTACATAAGCCTGAAGAAGATCTGAGAGGTGGGGCTGTGTCTGTCATGCACTGGCATGCGAGACAGAGTTGTTTGAAGGGGATTTTCACGGGTGGCCAATGGAGTTGGTGTGATCTGTTTTCTTTTGATCTGGGAGGCAATGCGAGCAGCTAAATTCTGTATGCGTTGGAGATGGTCAGTGACACAAGATGGAGATCCGGCCAAAAGGCTGTTACAGTAGTCCATACGAGATGTGACTAGGCTGAAGCTGAGAGTTTTGGAGACATCTTTGGTAAGGAATGGTCTGGCCTTGCTGATATTGCGGAGATGGAAGTAGCAAGGTTTACTAACATACTTGACCTGTTCAGTCACACTGAGGTCTTGATCGACGACAACACCCAGATCCTTGACAGTGGAAGAAAGTGGAATGGCTGCTCCACAAACAGGCACACTAGTTATGTCACATTGCTTGCGTTTTCCAGTCTGTCCCAGAGATGAGGTGAAATTGGGGTTAAGGTCGTGCTTGAGAATATTTCGCTCATATGACGACGTGTGCGACATGCGTGTGTATGTGTATGTGCGGCTGCTTGTACTAGCCCAGACTTAAGCTGGTTTTATAGTGCTAGCCCACTGAGATACCATGCCGCAGTGAAGCATGAATACTCAACTCAGACACATTATACTGACCAGTCCTTGTTGTACCCATTAATGCCGAGCGCATTAATGTGTAGAGGGTGAAGAGGATCGGACCAAACATGGATCCTTGAGGGACTCCGCACTCAAGCCTAGATGCGGTTGACACTCACCAACAACAACGGTTTGAGTCCTGTCCTGTTGATAAGATGCCAGCCAGGATAAAGCTGAATCCTTCCAAGTTCTGTATCAAGTCTTTTAAGGAGCCTCTGGTGATCAATCGTGTCAAAGGCACTGCTTAGGTCATGTAATGTGAGCATGGCCACTTGTCCTGTGTCACTACCACATCGCAGGTCATTCAGAACTGTCTCTCTGCTGTGGTGTGCTCTGTAGGCTGACTGGTTTCTTCAGACTAGCGCTGACTTGAATACACTTGGGACATAACCAGATGAAGTATAAGAGTTGATAATCAGCACCAATGTTGGTATGAGTACGTCGAGACCGTCACATAGAAGGTCAGTTGGAATCGGAAAATACCAGTGCCCATTTGTGATCAAACCAAACGGATGTTGTTATTCAGTATATGATTATTTCAACTGCAATTACACCTATGCTTACGCCCGAATAGCTGTGGCCTGTTCTTTCGGCAACCAGCTGCTCATCCAAACCGCTCTCATACAGAGTCTCTTGACCACCCCAGACAGAACGTGTCTCCCTAAGGTAGCGGCAGAGTACCACTGGTTAGGCTTAGGATACTTGAGTGGACGAAGGTAAAAGTCATCACATGCCACTGACCTGCAGTCAAGTTGTACATACATTTCATACAAGCTGCAATGTAGCCTTGGTCAGGTTTTAAAACAAACTATTTATTCTTTTAAATTTTTTTTAAAAGTAATTACATGTACCATGTTATTCACTCACCTCAATGACATGTACTTTTGGTGAAGTCTAACTGGACCACGGGCAGGGTTCTCTTCATTAACATCTACTGAAATGACCTTCAGAGTATACCAATTGATGTTTGTTGTTTCTAGTAACACGATGTTCCCCTCCACCGAGTAAACAAAAAGTTTGTTCCATTGTAATTCAAGACGGTTTCAAGCAATTTCTCCGGGGTGTCATCCCTAAACAGCCCGCGCTCCCACAAAGCATCCCCCTCTTGTGTGATGACGTATGCATGCATAATAATCTCGACCACTTTTCCGCATGAATCTCTGCATCGAATCTCGTGAATTGTGTTGACCTCCCCTTTGGTTCCTTACGTATGGGACAAACAGACTCAGCGTTCTATTCAGATCTTCACCAGAAAGACTTAATAATTTGCTGCCTAACTCGGATTCAAACCCATTTCTTTCATAGCATATGCATAGTGTTCGGGTGCACGGGTTACGAAACTAGGGCGCCAATATGTATGATTTTAGGTTTAAGCGCAATAAACACCTGAGACTTGCCAATCTTCGCTCAGCTGGTGGGGGTCCTCGGTCTAACGGTATCTGACTCAACCTGAGTTTATTCCTTACATATATATAAGTGTTCTGTGCGACAATCATCAGACAAGCTGAAATGAAGTTACTTGTAACTATTTTTTCCCACTCGGTTTGTGTGCTTTCCATGCCGACAGGTTGATAGTAGTAAATTCTTTTTGTTGATCTTGTTGCCTTTGTTTTTGAGGCAATGACACACCACTGTAACCTCTCGATGTGCTGTATACACTACAGAAAACCTTACGATTCTGTGCCTCACGGATGGAGTTTGGCGTGACTGGAATTAAGTGATCTATACGAACGAGTACTTTTTTTATTCAAGTCTCTAATGAATTGCTGGTGAAATCAGCTTGAAGTATGCTACTGGAATCAAGTAACTGTGCATTATTTGATGTTATGCCACTTTTAAAGCAAAAAGATAATACATGTCTTGCCGTGTTTTCCTTAATCACCGCTGAACTGTTGACTGGATAATACCGAAATCTGTATGACTTGACACACGGCATCGTGGCACGCCACTGAAGGGATATGGTGTCAAACGTCAGTTCACAAATGCAGTATCGTGTGTGTCCACCATTTGCGTTGGTGCAGGCTTGACAACGACGATGCATAGACAGCAATAAGCGATTGAAGAAAGCTTGGTGAATGTTGCTCCATGTCTGAACCAACGCTTGTCCTACTTCAGCAAACGTCGCTCCGTGTCATCCCAAGCGTGTTGGACAGGTGGCAGGTTCGGGACAACAGCTGGCCAGGGGAGTACCGAATTGTTCTGCTGTCTCAGGAAATAAATCTGTCCATGTTTAACAACGCACGCGTCAGTATACCGCTCACCTCGCCGTCTGTACACCCTTGTCCTGCCATCTGAGCTGTCCTGGTGAAATCTCGACTCGCCAGTGAACAAAACACCATACCAATCTTGTCTCCTGTACTTTAGATGCTGTCTGCATCAGGCAAGACGTGCCTGTCAGTGACGGAGCAAAATTGGTCGTGTTTCGATGGCCACCAAGCATACCCACGGCGCGGAGCAGTCTAAGTAAACTAAGGCTCAGTATTATTCGTTTCACTGCTATACTGTGTCTAACAAACCCTAATTCGCGTCAGCGTCAGCTAACCTTTTGAACTGACCAATCAGAGCACAGCTTACCAAATCCAAACACAGTTTGTAAGTCCCGCCGAACCCTAAATAGCAGCTGTTGTCTGATTGGTTAAATCCGTTCGGCCGTCTCGCGTTTGATTGGACGGTCATAGGTCGCTCAAAGGTTAGCTGCTGCGACCTTCTACTAGGGTTTGTTAAAGGTCACATGCAACGTTAAATACAACTTTGGGTTTAACGTCGTGCTTGAGAATATTTCGCTCATATGACGACTCTCCATGTTATGAGGTGAGGGAAACTGGGTTTAACGTCGTGCTTGAGAATATTTCGCTCATATGACGACTATCCATATTATGAGGTGAGGGGAAATTGGGTTTAACGTCGTGCTTGAGAATATTTCGCTCATATGACGACTATCCATATTATGAGGTGAGGGAAACTGGGTTTAACGTAGTGCTTGAGAATATTTCGCCCATATGACGACTATCCATATTATGAGGTGAGGGAAAATTGGGTTTAACGTAGTGCTTGAGAATATTTCGCTCATATGACGACTATCCATGTTATGAGGTGAGGGAAATTGGGTTTAACGTCGTGCTTGAGAATATTTCGCTCATATGACGACTATCCATATTATGAGGTGAGGGGAAATTGGGTTTAACGTAGTGCTTGAGAATATTTCGCTCATATGACGACTCTCCATGTTATGAGGTGAGGTGAAATTGGGTTTAACGTAGTGCTTGAGAATATTTCGCTCATATGACGACTCTCCATGTTATGAGGTGAGGGAACTCGGGTTTAACGTCGTGCTTGAGAATATTTCGCTCATATGACGACTATCCATATTATGAGGTGAGGTGAAACTGGGTTTAACGTCGTGCTTGAGAATATTTCGCTCATATGACGACTATCCATGTTATGAGGTGAGGGAAATTGGGTTTAACGTAGTGCTTGAGAATATTTCGCTCATATGACGACTATCCATGTTATGAGGTGAGGGAAACTGGGTTTAACGTAGTGCTTGAGAATATTTCGCTCATATGACGACTATCCATATTATGAGGTGAGGGGAAACTGGGTTTAACGTAGTGCTTGAGAATATTTCGCTCATATGACGACTCTCCATGTTATGAGGTGAGGGAAATTGGGTTTAACGTCGTGCTTGAGAATATTTCGCTCATATGACGACTATCCATGTTATGAGGTGAGGGGAAATTGGGTTTAACGTCGTGCTTGAGAATATTTCGCTCATATGACGACTATCCATGTTATGAGGTGAGGTGAAACTGGGTTTAACGTCGTGCTTGAGAATATTTCGCTCATATGACGACTATCCATGTTATGAGGTGAGGGAAATTGGGTTTAACGTCGTGCTTGAGAATATTTCGCTCATATGACGACTATCCATATGTTATGAGGTGAGGGGAAATTGGGT